AAAAAAAAGGTGCATCGGTGAACGGAGCTGGAATGAGAAGTTTAGCTTTTGGGAGGGATAGGAAAGGCCTCACTATAAAGACATTCATAAAGAATCTAGAAAACTGAGATGCAGGCTGGGGGGGGGGAGAAAAGTGGGGAGGAGAGGAAGAGAGACCCATAATTTTGACATCATTTCCAACAAAGTGTCAGGGAGAGTGAGGGTACTCCCCACAGTGATCAAAAAGGTAAAGGGATCAGAGCTCTGGATTCACCATATTGATCTTGAGATTATAGCTAGATATCTAGGCAGAGATATCGGACAAACAGGTTAAAATTTAAGTTTGGACAGAAAACAGGTCTATAGAGGGTCAGATGAATTTGTTTGGGGATGAGGTTACCTAGAAATGAGATATAGATGGAAAAAAGCAAACCAGGCAAGAGTCCTGAAGTAACAGCCACAGGGGAAAAAATACTGCAAAACAGTGTGTTACATGTACATGTTTTTTTCAGAACAGCTGGTTTATCTGCTATTACAATAAATCTGAAAGGGATTGGAAATTTTAAAGGTCAACTTTACTCCGAAAACAGAGCAAAACCTCATTATATGCTTCTCATCTCCTGGTCTTCATGGGTGCACGTGCACTTGCACAGGCACGTGTGCTTGCAGCAGCTCAAATAGCAGCAGCACAAATTTGTGCTGGAGACTTCTGCCTCCGCACATGTGCCTGAACATGCACTTTGGTATAGGACAAATTGTGCCACTTGGAGCAAACTCTCCCTGCTCAGCTTCTCCTGGATCTGCAGCCAGGGGGAGATAGAGCCTGGGGCCAGCATCCGTGCTGGGCCCAGCAGTATAAAGAGGTGCCCTGGTGAGCAGCTCGGGGAGCTTCTGAGGCTCAGCCAGTTGGTATCTGGGGACACTACCCCTTGTGCCAGCTGGACTGCTGAAGTAGCCCTAACTTAGAGTGGCTCCTGCACCCTCTACCCATTGCAGCAGTCTAGCAGTGGGGGCTGCTGCCTGACTGTGACCTGCTGCCACCTGTGACAGCATCCGCCCCCTTGGACCTGTGGCCCCATGGCTATGTGCTTGTCAGACCCAGACAGGAACGGCATGGCCACCTGGGCTCTGGTATGGGCACCACAGTAGAGCCTCCTGCGCTTTTGGGCCTGCTGCCAGTGGGCCGTGGCCACATAGTTGGCTGTCGGGTAGCACTGCTGTCATATTTTCTGGTGTCCCTGCTCTGCCATCTGGGGAGCTATCGCCCAGATGTGTTTCTTGCAGTGGTTCACTTCGAACTGTCAAAGCATGCCCTCCTGGCCCCAAATGGCCAGGAGGTCAGCCACCTCGTCTGCCCCTAGCTGGGTCCTGGGTCCTGGCCCTAGGCAGGCTCCTCTGCCCAAGTTGTGCCACTTGCCTCACCAGCAGAGATCCTGGTGTTCCCTGTTTAAAAATTGTAAATTCTCTGATAAAATAGCCCAACACCCGAAATCTGTGTTCTTCTGTGATTAAAATGAAACTCCATTATATCTAGAGATCAGTTCAGCAATGTTTTATTGATATAGTTACAAATTTAAAGCAGTTTAGAAGCCTACCAGTGCCACTATATCATCATTGTAGCAAGGTGGGGTCCCTAGGGGTGGCTGTGTTACCCCTAAACTCCTTAACCATGCCAGTCTTGCCCTGTGAACACCCTCTATCTCGCCCACCACATCTTGTTGGTATGATTAATATAGGGAGGCTGCCCTCGGTCTTTAGGTTTGGACACGGTCTGGCTAGATCCTATTAAACCCTGTTGTTCATAGACCCCTTGGCATCCCGCTTCACTGTGGACAGCTCCTGAGTCTCTCAGCCTTATGAGCTATGTGTGGCTCCAACCACCCCTTTACCACATCCCAAGCCTCGCAGATGTCATTGACATTGTCCCATCTAGGCCTTACTGTGATTTGGCCCCCTTGTCCTCTCTGGGCTCTCCGCAGCCCTGTCCATGCGCCTACGCTGGTGCTGGGGTCCCCACTCTGTAGTGGGCCCCTAATGAGGCCTCCTCCTTCCCCAAATAGCCTCACCCAAACCACTGGTGTTTATCAGACAGCAAACAAAACAACAGCAATCAAATATGATCCCCTGGGCTATAACGTAAGACAGAGTTCAAGGCATACTCTGTCCCTTTAAAAGAGTAAAACTTCTTCTCTGAGGCTTGGTGCCTAGTAGGCAAGTATACCTTATGGGCTCCTGGTGTCCCCTTTGTTCTAAGGGTAGCATTTCTGCTGGCTACAACATCTCTGGGCCCTTCCTTCCTGGAGGCTCCTTCTCCTTCAGCTGCTGGTAGGGAACCAAACCCTGTCCCAGCCATAGGGCCTATATGGGCCCAGGGCCCTGCCTCCCCCAGCCAGGTACAGGTGCGGCCAATTCCCTTGTTAACCGGTTGTCATGGCAACCTGCACCTGAGTTCCTATCTGGCACTTTGTGCTCTCTCCCCGGGCAATCTCCGCTCTAAGAGGAAGAGGCACCTTAGTGCCCTGCGACAATCATAATAAAATTAATTTTAAATATGTATACACTTTGGTGTTTGCTTTTGGGTTTTTTTATTGTAGAAAAATCAGAGCTGCTCCTTTTGCTTACCAGAATGCAGGGTGTTGAGCAGCACTGACGTGCCAGTGCCCTGCCCCTGCCCTTGCCCCTCACTCCCAGCCTACTGCCCTGCCAGTGCCCCTCACACCTGACCCACAGCCTCTGCCTGCCCCCACTAGCTCCCTCCCAGCTGCAGCTCTGTCCCAGCACCAGGACATGAGTCCAGGTGCAGTTGTCCCACCCCCTGCTTTGTGAATGAGCAGTGCCAGCCTTTACTGTTCTGCTCCCTCTACTGTGCCCAGGCCCCAGTGATCCCCATGCTGTTCCTGCGAAACCCTCGACAGGGTCTCAGGAACTGGGCTGGGCAATCCCCTTCCATTGCAGGCCAGCCTCCCCCTGCACAATGTGCTCTAGGGTGCCAGGGGGGCTCTAAGCCCAGCTCTGGCAGCCTCTCCTACCCGGAGCGCTTCTCAACCCCTGATACTCATCTCTATCTCTCCTGCTGCCACCTTCACCCCGCTCCATCACACCCTGTAAGTGTTTCCTGGGACCAGGAGCCCCACCAGGCTAGGACCCCATGTCCCAGCACTGTTGTGGGCACAGGGCAGGGCTGCAGTGTGTCAGTTACCCCTGCAGCCATGGCTTCCATCAGCAGGTCCTGTCCTGTCTGGCAGCTGGGCATGCAGGGTATGAGATGTGTGGGGGGGATGTGGGGTTTGGGGGGAAGAG